CAAATTAAATGTATCTTATATTATTAGATATATTATTATAAAACATGCTTTGGTTAAGGAGTTATTGATACTTCAAGTGCAAAATGATGATATAAAACCATGATAAAAATACACTTTTAAGTACTAATCAGTGTTTTAACTATACACCACTGTATAAAATATTATTTATTACAATAGTTTTTTTTTTGTGCTTTTGGCTCACCATTTGGTTTATTAGAGAATGATTTTTTTATTTGTTGCGATTTGCTTTCTATATGGTTATCTAGTCACGTGACTCTTGCTGCAAGTTCAACATATTAACTCGATTGACTTAGTTCCCCTCTTTTTTTTTTTTATGGGCATTTGTTTTTTTTTTAATTTTACTATTCAACATTAAATTAATTAAGAATTAGACTTTATGATTTATTTTAATTTACTTTTCATTAGGTTACCCTAGTTTCATGACTTGGATAACGTGTTTTGTGACCTGAGTTGACTTGAGGGATTTTATTGGATTCTTTGTTTAGATAGATTTTTTTTTTAATTTTACTATTCAACAATGGATTAATTTAGAATTGTGCTTCATAATTTATGTCAACTTGTTTTATATAGGGTTATTCTAGTATAATGACCCGAGTTATATATTTGGTAGGGAAACCTGAGTTGACTCAAGTTAATTTTTTAAAATCATTTCAATTATTTTTTTCTTCAATTTCATCTTTCAACATTAGGTTGATTGAAAATTAAGTTTTATTATTTGGTTTGATTTATTTTTTATAGGGTTATCTTGGCTTTATGACTTGGGCAATGAATTTGGCTGGTTAACTCAAGTTAACTCTATTCATTTTTTATCCCTTTTTAATTGATTTTTCTCAATTTTATCTTTCAACATTGAGTTGATTGTAAATAATTGGATTTCATAATTTATCTTGAATACTTTATAAAGGTTTATCTCAATCTCATGACTCGAGTCACATGTTTGATAAGGTAATCTAAGTTGTCACATGTTTAACAAGGTAATCTAAGTTGAACTAGGTCATTTTTTAGGTTTGATTTCTATGAGATTATCCCAGTATCATGACCTAAATCATGAGTTTAATATGTTAACTTAGGTTTACTTGGGTTATTTTTTTATTTTTTAATTGATTTTTTTAATTTCATCCTTTAACATTAAGTTAATTGGAAATTAGGTTTTCTAATTTTTTTTAATTCATTTTTATAAGGTTATATTGGTCTCATGTCTCAAGTTTTATATTTGACAAGTTGATTCCAGTAATATTTTTATAATATTTTTAATTAATTTATTTTTAATTTCATTCTTTGATATTGGTTGAACGAGAATTAAGTTCCATAATTTATTTTAATTTGTTTTCTATAAGATTATGATAATTTCATAATTTATGTCATGAATTTGACAAATTAAGCTAAGTTGACCTAACTCAATTCAATATATTTGTCTCAATATTTTTTTTTAAATATTATCTTATTTTTAGTCAAATTATTTTTTAAGTGGTCATTTGAGTTGTTTTTGACCTGTGAAGTTGATTGTGAAGTTGATTGGATCAAATCGAGTTAATCTGATGTACTAGGGATAATGCAAAACTAGTTCCTTACCCGATTCTCGCAGACCATAGGTTTCCTAGTAACCTTAATACTAGGAGGCAACTCTTGAATTTTATAATTATAATTTTATGATTATACCCAAAATCATTTCTTTTCCCAATACCTCTCAAGAGACTTAACACACTATTCGACGTTGCCTCGCGACACTATCTATTTAGTAAAAATTAAGAGGTGGTGGCCTCGCGACACTATCTATTTAGTAAAAATTAAGAGGTGATGTTTTAACTATACACCACCATGATGTCTTCTCCCAAGTGTAGGAGTGTCGAAGTAATAAATAACCCGGCAAGACCGGGGTCGAACCACATGGAGGTTATTTGTACAAATTATAAATAACAATAATACA